TATGTTTCAAGCATAGTTCTGGCGTAACTTTATTATACCAGACCTCCGCAACTCGTTCCCACAACTCATTTAGGTTCGACGGTGCTGTATCGTACGCTGCTAGTTTGCACTTCAAGTAGAACCACAGATTCTCAATTGGATTAAGGTCCGGAGAATATGAAGGCCAGTCTAAGACGTTCACCTTGTTCTTTTGGAACCATTTTTTCGTCAGTTTGGCAGTATGCTTCGGATCATTGTCCTGCTGAAAGACAATATCATCCTTTTTAAGCCCATAATCTTTAAGGGTCTCCATAAAGTCACCCTTCAGTATTTCGCAATACAATTTGGCGTCCATCCCGCCCTCGATCTTGGCTATGAACCCAGGTCCATATTGAGTGAAACAGGACCACAACATCAAACTTCCTCCACCACCTTTGTAAGCGAAGTTGACATTGTGCTCCTGAAGAGGTTCACCCTTTTTAACCCAAGTCCACATCTTTCCGTCCGAACCTAAACGGTTTATTTTAGTTTCGTCACTAAAAACAACTCGTTTCCAATCCTCAACCGTCCAGTTTCTGTGAGCTTTGGCCCATTTCAAGCGATTCTTTCGTCGATCATTAGTCAGTGGCAGAGCTGACTTCTTAATCTTTGAATCAAAGTCTGCAGATTTCAGGAATCTGCGTATCGTCTGAGGAGAAATATCATACCCTTGAGCACGTAGGCTCCGGGCAGCCTCTACAGCTGTCATAAAATGCCCAGTGTAAAAAGATCTTACAATTTTTCTACCGAGCAATTTGCTGATTTTAGATGGTCTACCACCTTTGTTGTCAGATGCCGATTGATGATCTTTAGCAATGCGGTCGACTGTTCTGGTTGAAACTCCAAAAGCTTTGGCAATACTTCTGTTTGACTCAGTACCATTAAGTCTAGATAGAATATCCATCTTTTTATCATAAGGAATTGGTCTCATCGCTAGAGTTAAAGGTGATTAGTTGTAAATGTGGAGTAATGACTAATGAGTTAGGTGCAAATGTCTAAATTGTACGAAACAAAAACGGAAAAAAGCATTAAAAGCATTTAAATGAATGGTACTACAGTAATAGTAATTGACTCCATTAGAACTCAGAAATCCCTTCGCTTTTCTGTAGGCAAGTGATCTTTTGACATCTCTCATTTTATGCGTGATGTCCAAAAATTCGCCCATCGGTCAATTTTCCTAATTGATGGGTGATCGGTTCATGCAAATGCCACAAACTAGATATGAAATAAGAGCTTGAAGGGTCCTTATTCTATTACTCGTTTTTATTTTGTATCTTTATTAAGGAAAATTGATAGTAAAGTTGCGATTTATGCAAAATTTGAAAACATTGTCGCAGTTTTGTGAGTCACTGTACATCGGATTTAGTTAGGTTGTATGATACGTCAGAACCACTCAAACACAAAAGTACGAAACATTGGGACAGTTTTGTAAGTGACGGTATATGGCATTGTAGAGAAGTAGTTGTGAGAGATACAGTGACTCACAAAAGTGTTACAATGTTTTACAAAATCAAACAAATTTCCAATTCAAATCACTATTGCACCTGATATGATTAATAAGCCCCCCTCCAAACTAATATCATTAGAAAGTATATATTGTTGGGTTTCTAATGATATAACTTTCAAACATATTAGCGTTCTTTGGAATTACTTAAACTATAGAGCTTAATTTGCATATGCGTAAAATTTTCATTTTTGTGATAGTCAGATTTATTTAAACGTGCAGTTAGTACTTTGTTTGACCACCTTTGGCTTTTATAACAGCTTCAATTCTTTTTGGCATGCTTTCGATATGTTTTAGGCATAAATCGGCTGTAACTTTATTGTACCATACGTCTCCTACTCTTTGCCAGAGTTCGTCCATATTCTTGGGTAGGGTGTCATAAGCAGCTAGCTTGCACTTCAGGTAAAACCATAAGTTTTCGATTGGGTTCAAGTCTGGTGAATAAGAAGGCCAATCTAGAACATTTATCTTGTGCTTTTTAAAGAATTTTTTGGTATATTGGGACGTATGTTTAGGATCATTATCCTGTTGAAGGACAACGTCCTTCAATTTCAGGCCATAATCCTTTAGTGTATCCATGAAGTCGCCTTTCAGAATCTCGCAATATAATTGCGAGTCCATTCCCCCCTGTATCTTGGCAATGAAGCCAGGACCATGTTGAGTGAAGCAGCTCCACAATATGAGGCTGCCACCTCCGCCTTTATACTTGTAGTTGACGTTGTGCTCCTTGAGGGGTTCTCCCTTCTTTACCCAAGTCCACTGTTTCCCATCCGATCCAAGACGATTGATTTTGGTCTCGTCGCTAAAAACGACTTTCTTCCAATCATCAACCGTCCAGTGTTTGTGGGCTTTCGCCCATTTCAACCGATCCTTTCTTCGATCATTCGTTAATGGCAATGCTGATTTTCTAATCCTTGAATCGAAATCGGATCTTTTCAGGACCCTACGTATGGTCTGTGGAGAAATATCTACTCCTTGACCCCGCAGGTTCCTGGCAGCATCAACTGCTGTTATGAACTGCCCTAAGTAGAACGATCTTGCGATCATTTTCTCGAGACGATCCGAGATTAACCTAGGACGGCCGGTCTTTTCGTTGCATGCAATGTCATTAGCTTTAGCGATTCTACCAACAGTGACGTTGGATACCTTTAAACTTTTGGCGATACTTCTATGAGACTCTCCTGTACGCAGTCTAGCTAAAATATCATTTTTTTTATCGTAAGGTACGGGACGCATGTTGAGATTTGTCTAATGTTGCGGTTTTTGTGAATGGGTAAAGTAATGTAGCTAATCGAAAAGCAAAAAGGTACAAGTTTGACAAAACATGATACTCAACATTAAATTGACTCCTGATAGATTGCTGAAACTCAATAAATTCGAAAAATCCTGGGGAAAGAAGGCTCTGTAAACATTCATCATTTCAACCATCTGAATTTCTACAGATTGCGAATGTCGAGATGAGCGATTAGAATGTCGAATGTGCTCAAGCAAATGTATATGAATTCTAACACAAGCTATATCACTGAATAGCTTAGAACTACTACTTTCCATATCGCAAAAAAAAATCAGTGCTTAAGTATGTGCTCAAGGGGAAGAATGCATGAAAAAGTCGAAAAATTAAAATTTTTAAAAACATTGTAACACTTTTGTGAGTCACTGTAAAAGTGAGAGTGTAATGGGGAAAACTGTGTAAAAATGTCGCCTTTATATATTTTTCAGCTTCTCTACATCATAATGATACGTTATCATTGCATCAGGTACGCTAAAATAGAGTTTAAGGTACACTGAATCATATTTGTATCATTTTACATTTAGTCCAAAATCAAGTTTTTTTTATTTGCAGCTTTGTGTAACAACATATGATTACGTCATTCTTCCTTTCTTATACTATGACGTTTGGGCTATCTAGTGGTCTTTATTTCGTAGCTCTGACGTAATTATTGCACTGTACAGATCATTTTATATTTTTGTGAGCCGGTTAATAGCAGCACTGTACGACGATCGCTTTAACCTCGTTCCAAGTGAGATCACGGCCTTTGAGGGATAGTTCGAACCATGAGCGTTGGTCTCTGTTCATGATGCGGATTGGCATGAGACGTGCCCAGTGTTGGTCGATATCCAGGCCAGTGGATGTAACACTTATATAGAAGTTGTCAAGCAATTCCTTCACTGACTCATGTGAATCAGCAGATTCCTGCCAAACGTTACCTTGCCATTGCCAGTAAGGTAAATCCGTTGGGATCAAGAAGCAGTATCGATCATTGGCTGTTGTAGTAGGAGGAGTAGAACCAGTAGGAGGGGTGCTGATGATGACTTGTTCGTTTTGGTAGACCTTCTGGAGGCCTTCAAGATATTGAATGTACTCAGCTGTTTCGTTGGCTTCAGCTTTCATATCATCCAATTCTTGTTTAGGAATCTTATTCATGAAACCTAGAGCGATGGCATTTGTTAAGTTTTCCAGTCTTGTACGTAGAACAGAGATGGAACCAGAGGTACTCATGGGAGAGCTGGGTTGAACACCATCAGTGAGGATTACCTCAGTGTTGACAGATTCTTCAGGACCATCTTGCATGGTTATGTCCAGGTTATCCATGTGGGAGTTCAACTGTTCTTGAGTAACAGCAGGGGTAGAAGAAGCGACAGAGTTGTTGGTAGAGGCAGACATACTGTAGTAAGAGTTGATAAGTTTTTGAGTTGATTGATAGGAATTCGCTGAAAAAAATGTGATATTCTTAGATATCAGAGTTATTATTTAATAAGTTTTTAAATGTAGAGACTGAGTGAGTCAGCGAGACCGAACAATAGTTCTTTGATGATTTTATTTTGGTTTAGAAATTGAATGGTCTTTTATATGAATGCGAGGTTAAACTGAGCTTATAGTGGAATTAAGAAAGTAGTAGTGACAACCGAGTAATATTGTTCCTGTTAATGAATTGTACAACGCCACTGAGATATATCTAGATTACTGTACCAGTAAGGTTGAAGTGTGCCTGATGAAATCTTATTTGTCCCAGTGTGCCTGGAATCTTATTTGTTCCCGTACACTATAACTGGTAAAGGCAGTAAATCTGGATTGTTTCTCAGATTGTTATATGAATTAGAGGTCAGAACGTGACACAGTATATCATGTAACTGAGCAGATCCTCTAACATTTTCCATCGTCGAACCGGTTGAAGAACAGTAGGTCTTAAAAACTTTGCTTTCTTAAGTAATGACTTGTCATTATGATCAACACCTATAATGTTACTGTAAAAATCAAGAGTACTTTCCGGGATTCTGTGCTGCATTACGATAGTTTTTTGTGCGAACTGTAAGATAGCTTTGAACTTTGACATACAGTATTTTGCGAAAGCGTTGCAGTCATCAATCCAGATACAAAATGATATTGTACAAACGTTCCTTCATCAAGGAGAACATAGTCATAAAGTGTATCAGTAATCTTGTGTATGCTGTCCAAACAGATCACTAGCCTCTTTCTTTTGTCACTACTTTGTGGTGACCATATGTCTTGATCAAGGTAGCAATTTAGATTCAACCTTTCAGCTAAGTACTTTGCCAAAGATATACGGAATGTGATACATACTGTAACACTAGCAGTAGGCAAACTTTTGATGAATTGCTCAGCGATATAGGTTTTCCCACAACCCATTGGTGCGTCCAAGAAGTACAACCTGCATGGATCATGAAAATCAACGTCAACGTTACCGTCATAATTCAGTTTATCGTTATCTGTTGTTATTTCTTCATCAACGTCAGGGACAAAGCCGTACTGATCACAACTTTCTAAAATAAACGCAGTGATGATTTGACAGTTAAAGCAATGGATTGCTTTCTCTAACGTAGGGGTTACCATGACCTTGGCACTACAAACACCGATTCCCACTTGTCTACTGTACCATCATGACGTTCAATCTCGCAAAACAAGCAGTAAACCCTCTCTTCTTCATTCAAAGAGTTTATTCTTCTTAATATTCCGTATTCGTCAATAATCATAGTGTTAGCAGACTGGACTGTTGGAAATGCCACTGTTCTCTCCAACTTATGTATGATATCAGTTTGTGCATGACGCTTAGTTGTAGCTGAAGTATGTAGATGAGGTAGGTCTGGTTCTAGTAGAGCTCCTCGAAGAAGAAGCAATATTATAGAATACAGAGGCATTTGAGGCATTTAGAAAATGACCTTCTTGGGACATCAAATCATTAAGCGAGCCTCTGTATAATCTGTTTAACGCGTTTCTAACAGCTGAAGGCCCGATATATTGTGATGGCGTTACTGTCAACAACTCCATGTCATCAGGTACGTTTGTAATGAGACTATCTAACCATGCACTTGCGGGAATCTTTTGTGAATTAAAAAACCAATTTGCATCCAACGTCCATTCTGTAATTTGATCATCCATTACTTGTAACAATGGCCGGTTTGAATTCAGTTTAGCTGAACCGTATGTTCTAAACAACTGATTCTTTCTGTATACACTTTGGTCAATAAATCTTGAATGATCCCGTAAGCGCGCCTTCACCATCGCTTCTGTCTGAGATATTCTTAAGTATTTGATAGACCAAGATACACTAGAACGAGACCGAAAGAGTCAGATAATTTTTATTTCAATTTTGAGAACATGAAGGCTTTATATATTTTTCAGAGAGTTAGCTGAGCTTATAGAGTATGTTAGGAAGATGTAGTTACAACCAATGAGTACTAATGGATCTAATGAGAGATTAGTGAAGGCGTGTTCTAACACTGTTATGGATCTGATACCAGTTTGACTTGTGAACAATTGCTTAATCGACAATTCAAGTCTAAGCTGACAGCCGTTTATGCTGTGTTTAAATTAATTAATTCTCACTCGTGTTTCGATACCGTAGACAGTGGTCGGGACATGACACTGTCACTCCGTGTTCATTATCGTCTCCATTCATGGCATCATAATCTCTTGTAACTCCACGGTTGAATTTCACTCAAAAAAAATGCTGCCACTTCTGCGACATACGCAGCACAGGATACTGTATGATCTTGAAACGCTACGTCTCGATGAATGATATGAATTGAGAATTTGGATGGTATACAAGAATGTAAGATTATCAGCTTAGTGTGGTCTAAAGAGGCTTGTGGGAAGGATATACTGTATTTAAATGCGTTATTAAGGTCGATTTGATAAACCTGATAATGGTCGATGCTTCATCTAAACTGAATATGTCGTGTATTTCGATATCCATGTATAGAAAACAATGATCACGTTCCCTAATCACCTCATAGATGGTAGGTTTCCTATACCGCTCCATCATACTCTTCACGGTCCGTCTTCTAAAGCAGCCGAACTTTTTTCCTTTGTAATATATTTCATGAATGTGTTAGGGAGACTATTAGCGTTGATTACCGTTTTTTATTGATGCTCATTACCTATATATCTAGCGTTTTCATCACCTCGTCTCACGTCAATCGCCCAAAGAAACTCATTGCTTTCAACAGCACCTACAGCCGCCTGTAATGTGTTGAGCCAGCCTGGCATGATACTTTTTACTGAAATTCAAAGGCAGTGAAGGGATAAAAGGAGAAAAGAAGTTTTAGTGGGACCAAAGGACATGCCTGGGCTTTGGCATTTCAGCCCACAAGTAATTTTTCATTGGATATGTAGTAGGTCGCACCCTAAAACGGGGTGAAAACTTTACAGTTGGTTTGGAATTTCAGTCCATGACACAATCTCAGTAAAGCAAGCATGTGACTATATCAAATCATTGTATAAAGGTGATAACCATATACAGTTGTTGCTTCCTTAATACAAAGAAAACCGCAATATTAAAAGCAAAAGCTGCAAGCAATGATAATTTTATTTACAAAAGTAAACTTAAGATTTTTCCATATCAATATCAGTATTGCTATCTTTGTTTTTACTGTCATTATCAATAATGGCAATAGATGAATCTGCATCACTCAGCTCGTCACTACTATCGTTTTCTTTACTGTTTTTGTGAATATCCATGATTTTTGAATCTCTCAAGTTGTCATCTCAGTTTATATTAGCGTTAAAAGTATCTTTCAAAGCCTGAAAGCATCGCAAAGTAACTAACATATACTTTATTGGATTATTGATAGCGACTTTAAAAGATTTGGTGGCATTACCCAAAACTTTGTTTTCCAAAACACGCGCAAGTGTTACTACTTCCTTCGGTGGTAATGCTGGTGGGGGCTCTAGCTTGACTAATTTGATTTGGAACATACGATTTTTTAATATGATTTTCAATCATTGGTTGGTATTATCTCAAGTTCGTTGTATTTTAGTGATCATGTTCGTTTAAGCGTTGCTCACTTATTTATTGGTCTACTGCATCAAACCCTTCATCTTGCCGCTGCTCGACTCCTATAATATCTTTTATGATAATAATAGAGGGCCTTTTGTTGCAATAGTAACTGTTTCCTGTGTGTAAGAGTAGGGTAATAATGGACGGCTTTGAACTGATCATTTCCCATGAACGAATGGAAGATATCTTTTCTGTGTTGGTGAAGAAGCTCACTTGAATAATAGAGATAATGGAAGATGGTATCTTCTGTAAATCTGTAAGGCTCTCCTTTTAATGCTTCCTTTAGATTTTCGTTAAGCTTTGCCAACGATGCCGTTACTCTCGCAAAAAACTTTGCACCTTGATGGATGTAAAATTCTGCTGTTATGGGCGTATCTTTGTCGGGGAGGACAAGAGAAGCAAAATCTTCTGCACGTAACACTCAGTTCTTCACGCCTCTTCGGTATAATGCTACAAGCAAGTTTCTGTGAAACGCTTGTCTATGGGCAATATTGACTTCTTGAGGTGCTTCGGCACAAATCGTGCAAGTCCAAGCAGATCCCGCATTTGTCCACGCGTAGTCATAACCGATGCTAGATTTTGGTATAATTTTGTCATAGATATTGATTGTTTGACAAAAACAATATATTTAGTTAAAATTATTTTGAATTAAAATACTGGAAATATGTATGCAAAGACACGTTAACATTTAATTGTTTTATTTATATTGTTGATTTTTATTTAAAATGGTATAGGTACAATGTGGGCATAGGTATATATGGATGTTTATTCTCGTCGTATCTCCGAAGGGTGACGAAGTATGTGGTGGGGCTAGTGTCGTATTTGAGGGTAGATATACAGTAAGCGGCTTAATAAATCGGCTAAGCGATTGTCAATGCCTGGAACGTGCACAACGTCAAAATCATAATCAAGTAAAGTTTCCATCCAACCAATCAACATGGGATTCATACCTTTTGAGTGTGTAAGTAGATCAAACTCTTATGATCAGTGTAAATCGTAAACTTACGACCCCAAAGATATTCCTTGAATTTCTTCAGTACGGTAACAACAGCGAATAATTCACGCTTGGTAGTACTCCAATTACAGTAAAGCCTTCATGTTCTCAAAATTGAAATAAAAATTATCTGACTTTTTCGGTCTCGTTCTATCTTGGTCTATAAAAATACTTAAGAATATCTCATGTATGCAGTTGCATCAGGAGGAGTAGGAAGACGTACCACAGATTCTGGGATTGGACAAGATGATGTCTCAGGAATGTTAGCATTAGTATGAAGTGCTTCACTAATAGCATCCATAAATTCCTTTCTCTCAATGAGAGTACCAGCAGGAGAAGAATTTGGAAGGTGTTCAACATCGAATTCATGATTGACATTGTCAAACTGTTTCGCCATTTCTTCTGGATTATTTAACTTAAAAAGCAACACCATGAAGAGAAATGTTTAACTTAGGTAGAATGTCTACACCCAAAAGCACATCAAAATCAAAATGCTCATTGAATTTCATAACTTCAAAAGAATGTTTGAACTCAATACCATTCGTATAGCCAACTCTCAACAAGTCAGTCTTACCAATACGAGGAATATGATGATTATTATCAAGCATGTTGTACAGTAAGTACCATGAACTGCAAAAACCTTATTATTATTTAAATATTTAAGCGTAAAAAGATTTATAAAACTAACATCGCTACCAGTGTCAATTTGCGCCATCAGAAGTTTGCCCTCTATTTTAATAGGAGTCGTTAGATTCAGTGGATTATACCTACAGTAGTAAACGGTTCAGTTCTATTATCAGACTTACAATCATAGGCCTCAACCATTTGTGCATCCTCCTCTGTAGGCACAGGGAGCAATGCCAATTCCTTCTCCATTTCCTCGATCGTCTCAGTGGCCGTTGTGCTTTTGACCGCCAACACCTTCTTCTGCGATCCACCGCACACATGAACAGGGGAGTACCGATCACCACAACGGTAGCACTTACCCTCCTTCTTGGCTTGTTCAAATGCCTTGGCCTTGTCCTTCCGGGCATCCTCCTTCTTCAATGAGATGCAGCTATCAGTGTTGTGCGTGTTGTTCTTCCCGTGGCGCTTACAAAAGAATGACTTGGGTCCCGCAGAATCACCAGAAGGGAAGCTACCACCCTTATGTATCTTCTTCATCTTCTTAGCAGGCCTTTCACCACCACCTGAAGGTATAGCAACCGAACCATTGTTTGCAGCGAAGGAGGTACCAGGCAAGAGAGCAGTCGCAAGAGCATAAGTTGATGGGTCATCGCCCAAAATGTCTCTGGCCAATTCACTCAACTTTTCGACAGTCCACTTCTTATCCTTGTTCGTAACCATTGATAGACGTAATACCGTCTGTACAGGAGGAGTCAACGACGTCAAAAAAGGATCAGCCACGCCTTCATCAGTGCTTGAGATCCCGGCTTCATGCATAGTTTGCAAGAATTTCCTTGAATAATCCACGATGCTATCATTTAGCCCCATATTCATGGTGTAAACTTGCTCCACAAATCTACGCTTTGCCGTTCTGGAGCCATAATACCTCCTAAATTCGACCTTTGCGTCCGACCAGCTGGCACACTTCACCAAAGTCTTGTCAACCCACGAAGAGTCACCAGGAGGAAGGCACAAGGGAATGAGGGTGCTCCAATGACGTTCGACACTACCAATCGATGATGACCTGATAATCTGCTCAAACGTCCTCAAATAGTGATCAACAGACTCGAACACCTCTTCGTTAGGGTAACGCTTGAACACATCGGAGCTCAACTAGAACTTGGGCAAATCCCTACGGTTCAATGTAAGGCCACGTCGGTTACCACCAATTTCACCAGAAAAGACTTCATGCGTGTTGTTATCATCAACCACCGTGTTGTATCCAAGATACAACTATACGTCTTAAACTACAGAGCGACTTCAGTACCTGCTTGACAATCTGATACACATCTACTTTGACACCCGCTTGCGGCTAAGATCTTATCATTCTCATGATAGTTTTAGTTCAGTTGTATTAATAGTTGAATATCCGTTAATAACCCCGTTTCTCATATAAAAGTATCATTCTCAACAAACTTGAATAAAGGGTATCTTTGTTGTGTCTGGTCATTTTACTGTCTTATTTTATTTTTATAAGTCTTTTAAAGTAACTGGATATATCACACCGAATTCTTCTTTCTGAGGAATGCCAAATTCTCTTCAAGGCTGCGGATAGCCCTACGGGTTTTGTCCATCTTTAACATGGCAGCGTCAAAAGCTTCCATGTCCCCCTTAACGCGAGTCTGGGATAAATCACTCATGTCACGTACCAGTTCTTGACGGAAGTCGTCAATTGTAGTCAAAACCCAAGATGCTTCATCCATCATCACTCCTTGATGCTCATGGCCCGACAAAGGGGTAACCCTTTCAGTTACTTCTTCAGCGATGCTCATTGCATCTAAACCTTCTTCCATTACTACTTCTTGAGTAGAGCCACCTTCACCTGTAGAAGCACCAGGAGCCGCAGCAGAGTTCTTCTTGTCTACTTCACCAGCAGCCTTCATATCACCAGCAGTATTATTGATAGACATCTTGAAGTGATTCACTGAAAAAAATGTTGTATACGATAAGATAAAAGTATAAGAAAAAGAAAACAAAAGGGAATCAGTGAAGACCAAGTTATCTTCTTTTATTAAGTAGAATATTCTGATAAAGAATTGTGGACAAAAACCATGTACAGTATGCTTCCGTAAAAGAAAAGAATTGTTGTAACAAGTCTATCACTCACGGTTATTTTAACCTTCATAAGGATCCGTGTTGTGTATGTGTAAAATATAACAGATGAAAGAATAGAAAGACAAAGAGAAAGTCTGTGAAAACTTGTGGTACAGTAGGTTTATTAAGAGTCGATTAAGACAAAAGATAAAGATAAGACCAAGATTCGTTCTACACTTCAACTTGGGATCATATTTATACTTTTCAGGAACTTGATCTGAGAATGAGATGTGCCTTGCGGAGTTCTAGAATTGCTTGCTTGGAAATTTCTAGGAAATCAGAACAGTAACATGAGACATGTTTAATCATCCATATCATTGATATCAGTTGATATGTGTCACGTTCTGACCTCTAATTCATATAACAATCTGAGAAACAATCCAGATTTACTGCCTTTACCAGTTATAGTGTACTGGAACAAATAAGATTCCAGGCACACTGGGACAAATAAGATTTCATCAGGCACACTTCAACCTTACTGGTACAGTAATCTAGATATATCTCAGTGGCGTTGTACAATTCATTAACAGGAACAATATTACTCGGTTGTCACTACTACTTTCTTAATTCCACTATAAGCTCAGTTTAACCTCGCATTCATATAAAAGACCATTCAATTTCTAAACCAAAATAAAATCATCAAAGAACTATTGTTCGGTCTCGCTGACTCACTCAGTCTCTACATTTAAAAACTTATTAAATAATAACTCTGATATCTAAGAATATCACATACTGTACGACTATCTGTCGTACTTCTCTCTCCAAGACAAACAATCTACACAACCTTTCATCGTCTTCTGTAGTAGAGTCGACTGCTCACTGATGCTACTCCAGTTAATGAAAACCTGTTATCGTGAATACTTGCACGACGATCCTGAAATTGCTGATACTGCCGTCGAGCGGATCAAAGGTGTCTGGGGTCAAGTGCAAAATGATCCTTGGTGTGCCAACTTTCTGCGAGATCCAATGTATTTGCTACAGATTGTGATACTGTACTTACAGTATTATTACGCCTTGTTTACCTACACTTAAATCTCTTCAACCCATTTACTGTAATTTGATCCAAAGCTGCTTTACAGTAAGTTTTTTTTGTAAAAGAATTGATATATACTGTATTATATTAAAGATAAACAAAGTCAAAATATTGAATTATTACTACAGTATTAATTGATTCACTTAAGAATGATATACTGTATAAATGAATCAATTTTGCCTCAAAAAGTTAGGACTACAGAAGAGATGAAAAATGATGAGGAGGGTAATATTAGTAGTGGAAGCGATAACGATAGTGATGATGATTATATTGATGAATAATTACCAAAAATAGACATACAGTATGACTATTTCTGATAGAACCCCGCAAGTAATTTGTTTTTATATTTTTGAAAACTAGAAGTTGAGGCGATTACAGTATAATGAGCTTAGATATACCCTGAAAATGACTCTATTTATAGTAATCGGCATGTAAAATCCGAACTCGAATGTATAAATTGGCCTTCAACCGAAGTACTGGCCAATGATAAGGTTTGTATAAATGTCACGTGCTGAGAATGAGTTTCACTGACAATTTAAAAGTGCGCATAACAACTACGTTTAAAGAGAGGTTTTTTTTATTGACAAAATAATTTTCTTGAAAACCCAGTGGGCACAATGTTATATAAAATTGCCCGGGGCAGATCCGACTGCTTATAAAAGTATCTAAAAAGCCCTTTAGGATCAAGGGTAAAAACGAGTTTGTCACAAGGTTGAGTGATTAGAAGGAGACATCCATTGGAGCAGTAAAGATCCTAGAGCAACATCCAAGATGGGGGTTCTTTGACGTGGAATAGATAGTCTAGCTCATATAGTATGTAGCAGAGGATCGGCCATTGGTGTTCCCATTGACGTTTTATCGTAGGTTGTTTAGGCGGGTGGTTAGGTAGCTGATTTAGAAGATACGAAAGGGGTTCATCTATTTGCTGTGGTTGTAGCAAACGCGAGTGCATAGCACAACAACTACAGTATTTTAGGTTTCATAAGAGACGATTTCGAGGATTTTGTGGACGAAGTCGGTACCTTAAATGGCACGTTTCTTTTTTTTTTTAGTGGACTATAGATTTTTGATTTTAGACGAAGTAGGCTTTTATGGTAGACGAGATATTTTGAGTGGATTTCTTTTGCTTTAAAATAAACACATCCCTGCAACATAGATTACATAAACTATAATCCTGTAAGTGAGCCTATGCTTTCCGAAAATACTTTTGCTATGGACTTGGATGAAATTGCTGTTACTTTCGGGCAAATTGAGAAGATGGTTGACTATGATGAGATGCAGCGGCGCCCTGTAATCGATGATGTGAAAATGGAAGAAGCTGTTGAAGAATTAACAACTGAATTCAGCACTGTCGATTAACGGATAAGTCCAAGAAGTGCAAGCAATATAGTGAGCACAGCATTAGACGGTTGATTCACTTATTAATTGAAGGGGCTGGGCTTACAGTTCCCAAAGCTGCGGTTGAGTTTGACATTCCGAGGTCCACCGCTTATAAGTTTTTACGGTATATCAGTGGAATGCTAGTGATAGTACAGTCCTTCTTCCTGCTACAGTAGCAAGCCAAGCAAGAACCATCATCTCTCGACCAAAGAAGCTTTTTTTTGCAGCACCTGTATCGAGCATACCAATCAATTGTTCATTGTTGATGGTAATAGCAGGAGAATAAGGTGTCATGTTCTGGACTGTTGGATCGGTAAGATCAAAATATAAATAAAATAGGAAATAAACAGTGACAAGTCTGTGAAAACTCTGGAAGGTTCAAGTTTATTTCTTTCTTAAAATTAAGATGAAGTTCGTCTAGATGAACAGAATCAACTGGTATTTATATCTTTTACGGAGTGGGTATACAGGCCTATTCACCATGGACTATGTTAACTGATCTTGTAACCAGGAGAAAGGACCAATAAACACCAGCGACAGGAACACCTAAAGAGAGCAACAGAAATGTGTAACTCGACCCTGACTGGTCGGACTTAGTAGTAGCGGGCAATATAAAGATTGCCCTATCGGACAACAAGTGATTGGGTATATAGACTGGTTCTGAATGATACTAATAGCGTCCATTATAGGAACCAGTAGAGAAGAGGATATAATCGACATGGGCATTCAATGGTTACCATAATCGTGATGAAGATTATAAATTTACAATAAAGTGATCACCGAATCTAGTGTACCTCCTCTACGACCTTTAATAGGTGGAGTCTGGAATAGAATAATGTCTGCGGAATAGCAAATAAAGACCTCTCACTCTATAAGGTACAGTAATAGTTATAGAGGCTAATAGAAACTGGATAAGTCACCTCAATCAACAATGTAAATTCTAGACTGAAGTACCAATAGATCATGTACGTGAAGTAACCTGCCATTTAATTATAACTATCAATAACGAAACGTACTTCGGTTTTATTATGTAATATTCAGCAGTGATCTCTTCATCGATACAACATGGACCTCTTTTTCTGTCAAGTCAGCAATATGAAAGCAGACAATATTTTGGTTTTCGTCCTTAGCAAATAGATAATTTTTATTTTTATGTCATCATTCGATGGCAGGACATTGAATTTGGAATGATATAACATATGATTAAAGTTATTACTGTATCAGTGAGAATTTCACTGGTAAAGTCTTCAGCAATTTCTTCATTTTCGAGATTACTATAGAAGATATTAATCTTATCAGTTGCATTTTCATTAAGGTTAAAGTTTTCATTGTTCTTTTCTGAAACATGTACTGTAACTGTACCTTGTTATTACGGCGATCATTTTGCTTGATCAAATACTGCTTGTATTTATCACTATGCAAATAATCGCTGCAACGTTTCAAGTTCTTACAAATGCTTCCTTTTTGCAATAGTTGCAAAGGTTTTTAGCAGTAGCGGAAGCGGGACGTTGCTTTTTCTGAAAATCGTTTTCAGAACCGGTTTGTTTTCTTTTAAGGCCACTATGGCTCGTCTCAGCTTTCTTTTTCGGCGAAACGTCGTTAGCCAAAGCATGGTAAAGGGCTTCCTGAATAGGACCGTAATAAACTTCAATGTGCTTATACAGTGACTCACAAAAATGGCTCAATGTTTCTGCATTTTGCGGTTATTTCACTGTAGCTAGACAATGAGTATTTTTAGCTTAATTTTAGCTATACGACAGTAAAGAGCAATACCACAAGTACTATTGGTATAAGTTTCGTTGACATCGCACCACTTCATCTGCAATTACGAACATGAATTGTTGCAATGTCGACAATCGGGCATTTTGCATAAATTCACGATTCACTAATGAACTTCCAAAAACACCAAAAAAAAATGTATTTTGAGGGCCAGACAGTTTCGCATATTGTATTTCACATAATTAAGCAGCTCCATGTTTCATTTTTTCCCCTGAAATTCCAATTACAACTCTCATTAGATTCCATCGATTACCGTTACCACACATTTCAACTACATTAACACTAATTGCAACATGAGACCTATTCCTTACGACAAGAAAATGGATATTATTGCCAGACTGAATGGAAACGATTCTCACAGAAATATTGCAAAGTCTCTAGGCGTTTCGCGTGCAACAGTTGACAGAATTGCTACCGATCTTGCGTGTGCATCTAATGGCAAGAAGGGCAGACCTGCAAAGATCAGCGCATTGCTCGGTCGAAAGATCGTTCTATACTGGGCAATTTATTACTGCGGTTGAGGCTGCCCGGAACCTTCGAGGACAAGGATATGAAATATCTGCACAAACGATACGCAGATTCCTCAAATCAGCCGATTTCGATTCGAAGATCAAAAAGTCGGCATTGCCATTGACTAATGAACGTCGCAAGAATTGG